CTTCTGAAACAACATGCCATTTTGGAAGAATCAAAACCACTTTTTCCTTCATAATTAATTACGAATTTTCGTTGTTTTGTTCTCGTTCACCTCTCATCGTCTCAACCTCCTTTTTAATTAGGCAATTGTAATTGTTTCATCACAAACCCTTTTCAACGAACCAAAATGTCAAGTAAATAATTTACGTTAAATTTTCAAAGGTGAACTTAATGTCACAGGCATTATCTTTCAGTCAAACTTCGCATATTTCTAAAAGCTTATGGCAAAAATGTATCCTTACTTCTGCGTGTACCTAGAACTGCTGCGTGCGTTTATAGAACGTCCACTGCTGAACATAGGCCTCCCCCAATGCTTTCCATGGTGATCGATTGGTAGCGGCCTGCGTCCAGCGCTTCCCTGCTACCTATACGATGTCGTCGGTCCACCTTGAAGGTGGACGTCCCACGCTGCGTTTTCCGGTCTCCATTCCAGAACCTTGCTGCCCCATCGGCCGTCAGTTCTGCGTACTATGTGCCCTGCCCATTGCCACTTCTGCTTGCTAATCCGTCGGGCTATGTCAGCGACTTTAGTTCGTTTACGGATCTCCTCATTTCTGATTCGATCTCGCAAAGAAACACCAAGCATATGGTGTATGTGGTATTGTAGATGAATAGCTAGGTACCTACTCGTAATAAAATTGCGTTCCTATTGAAAAAGGAATAACATGAGTTCGAGTTTCTCTAGTAAAGTCCACAATTCAGTTAACTACCGTGATTTTAATTACTGCGCCGTCGCTCCGGTGAAATTGCTCCGTCAACTTACTGAATTATACGTCAACGTTAATATTATCTTGACGTAATTTAGTGTCAACAGAGTCAGGAGGAGTCATGTCTCCGTGGTGTACACGTTTAGCTTACTTTAACTTTGACAAACGTCAAAAATCTGTCAAATTCCACAAATAAAGCACCGGTTATTGTTATGGTTAAAGGTGGTGCAACCCAGCCTTAGCTTCATTAACAAACGCAAAACATGACATAAATCTTAGTATCATTTTTAAATAATAGATGGCGTTAAGAGCTAAGCTAATCGCGCTAGTGAAAGATTTTGGTGTTTTGTAATAATAGTGTTTTACAAACCAGTTCTTAAAAGGTCATATTTATGAGTGTACTAGGTTTGCTAGCAAATACCTAAATGCTTCATCATCATCATCTCAGGACGTCCACTGCTGAACATAGGCCTCCCCCAATGCTTTCCATGTTGCCCGGTTCACCGGTTGGTAGCGGCCTGCGTCCAGCGCCTTCCTGCTACTTTTATGATGTCGTCGGTCCACCTTGTGGGTGCACGTCACACGCTGCGTTTTTCGGTACGCGGTACGTTCCTAAATACTTGGTGCATTGATATTTTATATCACAAAGCTGTCTACAACAGTCGTCTGCAAACTTTATGCTATAAAACATTATCTTCCAGTGAATCTACCCAAATAATGAAGTCGCAGTAATCATGCCAGACTGAACTGCTGTTAAACTTTGTTTGACAATCGCTAACTTTCACCAGTCATATGTTAATTTAAACTTTCAGGTAAAAAAGGTATTCGAGATTCGAGTCAGCGAACGTCGCGGTATTTTGCAAGTCAAGTATTTATAATTTATGCGAACAAAAACAGCGGTGACACGGAACGTCTTGTTAAAACTTTGTTAATTAAACTCTTACTTGGACTACCTATATGTTATTACGTGAATAATGTGCCAGAAGTCGATAAACGAGTTATGTACCTACTAGATGACTACCTAATAATCATAATTCCGTGTTATTTTCCTTTCCAATTTAAATATGTTATTTATTAACTAGTTAAGTAGCTTCTGCAAGAGGCAGGTTGCGCTTGTGGTGGAAGTGTCCTTTCCAATTTTTTATTGTCTTGACTTGGTGTAATGACTTATAATCATCAAAAACGAATAAGTCCCAATATAAATTGCTTAAACAGGTACACATACGAGTAAAACTTACCTTATTTTATTCAGCTAGCACCTGAAGCTTGGGTTTTCATGCAGCGTGCAGCGCCATCTAGTCGAAAACTAACAAAACTATAGTAAATTTTTTTTCATGCTCAAAATGTTTGGTTTAATCGAATCCGCGGCCTCCGTAGTGCGGTTTGCAAACCACTAAGCCACGCAGAAGCAAGCCTCTTTACCCTGCCTACTTTATTTGTTAAATATTAGCGTGTTGAATTTGCACTTCACTCAGGGTTTCATCGTATTGGGAAGCTCCAAAATAATGGATGTGGCTAAAATAATCAGGTTAGTTCAAAATTACATGGAATAAAGTGGAGATAACTTTGTGTATGTAGCTCGCTCATCCGAATAGTTTTACCAGGATGGAGTCCAGGAGCTTAATTTCGGGACAGTTACAGGTACTTTAATAGAAAACCTTCTTTACGCTTATTCGTGTTTATATAAAAACAGTTGACTATAAAATGATCTTTCCCAAAGTTGTTGATTGTTAATTATGTGGGTAATGAAATTATGTATTCAGTTCAATGTCTTTTGTCAAGTGGGAATTGAATCCACGACCTTTCACTTAAATCTACCTTTACGGCAAAGTGGGATATTTTTTACCCATTTGTTACGTGTGGGACCACAGTTAACATTTGTGTGTTACACAAATTATCAGGAATCTACGACTCATGGTCATACTACTGCAGGGTTAGTTCCGCGCGGACGCACTTTAGCCTACACTCTGCGTTGAATGTGCACTGAACCGGGCTATAAAGCCTGTATGAAACTTATCAGCAACTATTCACAGTTGGGCAATTGCATTGTAAAAGTAAACAGGCGCTATAATTTATAACGCCTTTATTGTGAGCCTGGTAGAAGAATAATCTTGATTTTTATTTTAATGGTTTTGGAAACCATGTATTATCATCATTTTGAATTCAACCTGACTAAACTGAATCTTCTAATAATCCACAGGAGACAATCATACGATTTTTTCTATTGTAAAATTAATGCCATGTAACAGATAAATAGATACATAAGTTTAAAAAATAGGCAGTGATTTTTTAAGCCCCAAGACCCTTTCAATATAACAGATTCAGTTTTTACGACTTGTACTTGCAAAAATGGTACATCACTACAAAAAGAAACAAAACAAATGAACATAAAGATAATTTATTTACATCTAAAATGAAGTCTGTGCCAAAGTGCCAACTTTTGTAAATATATTTATAACTTTACAAAAAGTCCGACATAGGAAACATAAACATGAAACTAACTAACATAATATACATTAAACACTACTTTTTAGATAATGCTTTTCCTTTGGGCTTCAGCCAACTGTCAATGACTCTCTGTTTCTTCTGCGCCTCTTCTTTCAGGGTCTTCTGATACCTCTCTTTGGCAAAGTCCAGCTCCGAACACATCTCTACGATTTTAGACGCATACTCCCGTTGTTTCAGCAACCTTAACTTCTGTTTGTGCTGAAATCAAACACGGAAAAACATTTAAAAACAAAAAGTATAACTATTTAAATAAATAAATACATAATATGACAGTACAAAATTATAAACAAATAATAAATAAATAAAACATTTATTCACTGCAATCTTAGGGTTACAAATTAGGTGTGGACTTCCTCTATTAAGTACATAAGCACCTGTGTCAGAGGAAGCCACTCTTCCTTATCATAGCATCGTAAAAAACCTTGGTAGTATGCAATAAACATTTCAACTTTCATTTCAATTATACTACATAGGAATAACATAGGAATAAATAGTACACGAAAAGCACTAATATCTTTTGTAAGATCTATTTTGTGAGTGTAAATGAATCTACAAACCAGAAGTGGAGTAGGCCGACCATCTAAAAAGGTATAATCAGGTCCATCTGTGAGTATTCCCTCAGAAGTGCGGTTTTCAGCCAGACCTTTAGATATGCGCCATTCCTTAGTACTGTTATAGAATGTACAGCTAAACGCTCTATGCAGGACTGAAAAATATAAGTTTATTAAAAAAATGAGTATCTGCACCTGGATGAGTGAAAAAACCAGAATTAGAAGCCTTATGACTAAGATACGTACTTCGAGAATGCATAAAAGCTGTTTTTCTAATTAACATACTCATTTTCCAGATTGTTTTCGAATTTAACTTCGATTTAAAGAAAATTTTACCTTCTATTTTTTTAGTTTTAAGGTTATGTTTTTACTTCATAGAAACTGACATTGGTTTTTTTTTAGTTTCACTCAATCCCAGCAAAAAGTATGCATTAATATACAGCTTTTAGTGGATGGAAAGTATGGAAAATCAAGCATTGCTTTCTGATTGGTAGATTTGAAAAATAAAATTTTATGTCATCCAATCACAATCACATGCTTATCAACTAGTGGTGTAATTTTCTGCTAAGTCAAGTCGAATGAAATCATAAAAACGGTAATAATCGGAACACTGAATCGGAACGTGAATCTTACTTCATCTACCTGCCACAGTGTTGCCAGAAGGTTACTTTTGTAACCTTTTTGGTTACTTTTGAACTGTTGTGGTTACTTTTAGGTTACACTAATGAAAAGGTTACTTTTAGGTGATTTTTCAGAAATTATAAAATTTGTAAGAACTATTTATTAGTCTAAACAAATAAAGAAATTTTGACTTTGACTTTGAACTTTGCAGGTTATTCAGTAAAAAATATTAATAGTGACAATTTAAAAATTATGTCATAAAGTGCATTTAAACTTGAATTTTATTTATTATTTGTTAAGAAAAATTAGTTTTAGCGAATGTTTTTCGATAATAAAACGCAAATCCATGAAACGGTTTTTTTTATACGACTGGTCACTTTTCGTATATTTAGATGATCAATTGTATTCATTTTCCATCCATTAACAACCTTTTACACAATCCTCCCTCAGCACCCCCCCCCCCCCCGTATAAAGGTTACTTTTTGTTCAAAAAGGTTACTTTTTGTTCAAAAAGGTTACTTTTTTTTATATTTCTGGTAATTTCTGACCTGACCCGACTGGCAACACTGACCTGCCATTTTTGTTGACATTAAAAAAAACTTATCGTTTCGTCAGTGCTTGTGTGTGATTGTGGTCGCAATTTTAATTTCAGCAGTGATAAAAATATACATATTCGTTCATTTAATAAATCTTGTGTCTGTGTGTTGTGCTCGAAGTGCAGGTAAGAAAAACTATAAATTTGTTTACTGTGCAAACGTAATTCGAAAGCTGATCGATTGAAGTTGTTGCGCCATTTATCTAGTAATTTCCACCGAAGATTCTTGCACTTTCCTACAGTTTCCTCAGAAATCATATCAATATTCTGTTTGTCCGATAATAGTAACTGTCTAGGTACGTGGCTTGTATAATTTTAGTGCAAATTTCGTGAGGTTTACACAATTTTCAGTAACTCATCATCACATTAACATCTGTCAAGCAAGATTGTCCCGTCTGTGAGTAAGTCTGGGAATCCCCGCTCGCACTTTCCTCAGAAACAAGTCTTGATTACAGTTTTCAGTTTTTTCTGTAAACCTTTCAAATCTTAGAACCAGGTTTGCATCATTCAGACATGATTGTAGGAAGATTGTAGGTAAAACAGTAAAGAAATTCAAGCCAATTCAACTGCATGTAAAAACTTAACCTTTACAGATGTATTTGGATGAATTTCAATGTTAATAAGAAGGAAAGTGTAAAAAAATATTAAACTAGTGTATAATATGAGTCATACATAGCACCATTCAGTGTGACCTTGGAGATATGTACAGTCAACAGCACCTCAGAATATACAACGTGTCCCAAAATTCAAGGATAAGCCGGCGCCGCAGGGTAGACATAGTCATGACTACTTTAGGAAAAATAAGAAAAAAAAATCTATCTCAATTATTTTTTAAGTTACACAATAAATAATGAAATTCGTCAAAAATTGACACCCCTTATGACATTTTACATTACCACGGCCACAATTTTTCAAATACTTCTGTTTTTTTGTTTGTATCGGCAACTTAAGTAGTGCTGCTGTCCATCCCAATTCTTAAAACCCCCAGAATCCTTGCAGTTTTTACACAAAAGTTAATCAAAATATGATATTTCCTTAAAATTTTTAACGATTTTTACTTTCACTCCACTTTGACTCGTCGTTTTGTAAAAAAAAAGTATGAACACTACTGCGGCAAGTTTTTTATAAAGTTGACGCAACTATCCAAGATTCCAAAATGGTATAATACTCTAAGAAAACTAGTCGCAAAAAAGATAAGCGTACCATTTTTACAAGCAATTCGCTTGTTAGTTAGTATGAGATAAATCTTACAACTGAATTTAAAACCAGTTCTCCTCAACCAATTGAGCTGAAATTTGATATGCTTGTGTAAGTACAATGACAATGCAATATTATGGTATCATTGAGCTGGATGGAGTCTGGAGGTGGCCATAGGAACTTCTAAACGAAACGGCGGAATTGCATCTAGTTTAGGTTCGATGGATTTGTCTTTTCGAGCAATTTAGTGCTAGATGATGTCCAGGGTCCTGATGATGAAGTCAAGAGGTGGCCAGGAGCTGGCCATAGGAACTCCTAAACGAAACAGCGGAAGCTTATCGAGTTTGGGTTCGTTGGATTTGTCTTCCCGGGCACGTGGGCCATGAGATTGAGAAACAGCTAAAAAGGAATAAAGTCCATGCGCGATTATAACTTTATTTTAAAAGTTATAATCGCGCATGGAATTTATTCCTCTTTTTTTCTGTTTGCGCTACAAGCTTTCGAAATTATTTGAACCTTGCATACAATTATTTTTATCGTTAAATTCTTTCGTAAAATTTCGCATTAATGCTTGTTTTTCAAAAAGTATTTTTTTATTATAACTTTATTTTACACTTTTTAGTAGGTTCTCAATCTCATGGTCCAAGTGCTCGGGAAATCAAATCCAACGAACCCAAACTCGATAAGCTTCCGCCATTTCGTTCAGGAGTTCCTTTGGCCAGCTCCTGGTCACCTCTTGACTTCATCATCAGGACCCTGGACATCATCTAGCACTAAAGTGATCGAAAAGAAAAATCCAACGAACCCAAACTAGATGCGATTCCGCCGTTTCGTTTAGAAGTTCTTATGGTCACCTCCAGACTCCATCCAGCTCAATGGTACCATAATAATGCATTGTCATCGTACTTACATAATGTAACCAAATTTCAGCTCAATCGGTTGAGGAGAAATGGTCTTAAATTCAGTTGCAAGATTTGTCCCAGAGCCCAGACTAACTAATAAGCGAAGTGCTTGTAAAAATGATACGCATATCTTTTTGGCGACTAGTTTTCTTAGAGTATTATACCATTTTGGAATCTTGGATAGTTGCGTCAACTTTATAAAAAACTTGCCGTAGTAGTGTTCATACTTTTTTTTTACAAAACGACGAGTCAAAGTAGAGTTTAAGTAAAAATCGTTCAAAATTTTAAGGAAATATCATATTTTGATTAACTTTTGTGTAAAAACTGCAAGGATTCTGGGGGTTTTAAGAATTGGTGTGGATAGCAGCACTACTTAAGTTGCCGATACAAACAAAAAAACAGAAGTATTTAAAAAATTGTGGCCGTGGTAATGTAAAATGTCATAAGGGGTGTCAATTTTCGACGAATTTCATTATTTATTGTGTAACTTAAAAAATAATTGAGATAGATTTTTTTTCTTATTTTTCCTAAAGTAGTCATGACTATGTCCATCCTGCGGCGCCGGCTTATCCTTGAATTTTGGGACACGTTGTATATTATTGATGCAAAATAACACCTATTACAAATACATAAAGTACTACAGTTTTTAACTTGATGACAGCACTTCTGTGCATATTGGAAGTGGTTTGTTAACTTTATAATAAAGTTAAAAAAATATTTTTATCACACATAAAACAAATTCCACTGTCATTTACTCTTGCCTGTCTATTTAGGTAAATGTTACCAAATCTAAACCTGCTACAGTAGCAATATTGTTTAAATACTGTTAATTCATATTCAATGCTTCCATTTTATTAAAGATGTTGAGAAAACCTTCTTTGCAGAAGCATACTTGTATGTTTAATTTCAATGTCTGTCTTATTTTTTAATTTTTATTATAATGTTAACAAATCCCTTTTAAACCATGTGTACTTAAGTATCTACTAACAAAACTCGATTGTCAACTGTAGTATATACCTAATAAATAAATAAATAAATAAACATCAACAGTTCTTAGATGTGAACTTATTATACTTATTTATTTAATCAATAACTCTTCTTTTTCAGTTCACCCTGACACCGTAAGGTAAATCAGTAAAAACGGCTACCGATAAGCTGAACAGTTCGGATCAACCAAACTACAACACGATGTGTATGTATTCTTTTTAATATTTCTATTTTTTGTACAGTTAACTAACTGAGGATGTGGCAGAATCAAGGCGTGTATCCGGGAGGTCATTTTATAAATATTATATCTATGTCGTCACCCTGTAAATGTTTATTTATTTAGATAATCAAAGACTTGCATAAGAAACATATTTTGTCAGAATTAAACTGACTGGACTTAATAAAAGTAAAACGTTAATTATTTTTGTTCATACAAGTTTTGGAATCTTGCCATTGAAATGTTTAGTAAAATTATCCTATTATGTCAGTTTTAGTCGCCTCAAAATGAAAAGGTCTCCATGGAAACCATAATAATATGATCAATAAACCAATTTATTGATGTGAAAAACTTGCTCACAGAGTCTTTAATTATCTAAAGAGCTGTACAGCACAAGCACGAGCAATACAATTAACAAACACAGACACGCATACATTATTTGTATATCTATTGATTTTGGTCATAGCATCAAGGACACTTCTATTCCATAAAGGTTCGGCCAAACCAACGCGATCAACCGGCGTGCAGCGATGGCGATCAATGCATTTAGGTCTGGTCGCCATCGCTGCACGCCGGCTGATCGCGGTGTGATCGCGTTGGTTTGGCCGAACCCTTATACAATAGTCAATAATCAATATCTTTATTGCATTCTACGTTGTACATAAGGTCTTAAAATAGACCCGGATTCAGTATCTCTAAAATTATACTATCTTCTATGAAAATGAGCCTATCTAATTCTGTGAAATATTTTTCCATTTCTTATTATTACCATTACTTATGAGTAATATGAGTATTGAGTAATTTTTAGAATGACAAATGGAAATATCAATATCATAGTAGGTATGACTAAACTCATAATGACTGATAAGATTATTTTTCCAGACCAATCTCGCATTTTCAAAACAAGACTTCATGACTAAACAAATGTTATTTTGTTTGAAAATTTCAATTTCTTATTAAAATAAAAAAAATCAAAATTATTTTTATTCGTGTTTTACTTGAATTAGTAGGTACCTACAATCGTAAAATGCTCTTGAGATGTTTCATTGCAATTTACAATACATCAAGGATCAGGTGCTTCCACATGTGAAGAAGTAGGATGTACAATAATTTGGGCTTTTGTCGGAATTTGGTTATTGGTGTCAAGTCCCGATTTCATAACGTGGCCTGCTTCATACATAATATGTATAGATTTGTAAATTAAGCTCACTGTTCGGTTGTAAGTTTTCTCTCATACATTTTCCGACCGCTAATCTAAGCTCTGGAAGTACTTATAGCGTTACATTCACGTTGTCATGGGACATGGGATCTCATCTCATCTTAGGATGCGATCATGGCCATCATCAGGATTTCTGTTGTTGACTAAATGGAATTAATAATAGAACATCCATAAAAAAATCTACATATTTTGTTGTGGCTTGCCTCATGTTTCAAATTGTTGGTAATCCAATTTACCTAACTAGAAGCACAGCATGGAATGAGCACTAATCGGGCTACAACACACGACCTTATTGTCTGACGTGCATGCTCATAATCTTCAGCGTCGTTTGATCTTAAAGTACAGACTGCGAATCAGACACTTATTGCAAAATCGTACCTAATGCAACTTTAATAAGATGCATAGTGATTAGCTTAATGTGCCAAAGGTTTGAGTTTCTTCCGCGTGAAGTGGTGGTAAACTCTATTTGGGACCTGTATAAGTGGGCGGGGCACATAGCTCGAGGAGCTGATGGCCGCTGGGGCAGGAAAGTTCTTGAGTGGCGACCACGAGCCGGAAGACGTAGCGTGGGCAGGCCACCCACTGGGTGGACCGACGATCTGGTGAAGGTCGCGGGAGGTGCCTGGATGCGTCGATGCGAGCGGCGCAGGACCGGTCTTTGTGGAAATCCTTGGGGGAGGCCTTTGTTCAGCAGTGGACGTCTTTCGGCTGAAACGAACGAACGATAAGTGCCTTAAAAAGGGTTTACATATTAATACATATTTTGATTTGATTTGCCGTCGTCTGTACCAAAGTCTTCAGGTCTGGAGGCCTAGTATACCACGAAGGACTACTATTAATTAACTAATTAATATTCCAATCAACATTAAACCATTATTATAATATTCGATCGATAACGGTATCTGAGGCGTCGCTGCTGCATGAGCATTGCAATCGATTGTGAAACCATGCAAATGTGTTTATCGAGAAACTACCTACTTAATGATATAAGTCATTAATGTACTCTTTTTAATATAATTAGTACTAGGGCAATAACTTAAAGTCGTCAAAGAGTAATCTTACCACAGGCATAGGTGTTCTTTTTAATTGAAAGTTCCCCTTTTCAACAGTTTTATTAGCTTGTTGAATAAATGGCTTTGACCTTACGTAATTATTTATTGTTTGTTATGAAGAGCAAGCCCATACTATTCTCTCCCCCTCTTCCTTTGGATGTCGTAAAAGGCAACTTACAGACAAATAATGCGAACATCAGACCTTCGAACTTCGAACTCATCTGGCCAGTATGGGAAGTGTAGATCAAATCTTCCATTTGCTTAGCCTATGCGCAGACCACCGACTTTTAGTTGGCCGATACGGGACTATTCCCACCTCTCGTTCCCACCACTGCAACTCCTGTGTAGCCAGGATCTACAACCTGACCGCCATAAAACCCAACCAATGGAGGTCAAGTTTGTCCCGGGGGAAAGTTAAACTGTCATTGGACCCGCAACGAAATTAATCAGAAGAACATAGGAGGAGTTCGAAATTAAGGTTCGACTTTCCTCCATTGCAAAGCGGATTAGTTGGCCGATTCTAATTTGTATGAAGAATCGCCCGATACCAAATCAGTGTAGTCACTTCCATACATCTCCATACTGATTAACAGTCCGACCCAACTAAAACTCGGTGGTCTGCGCCTAGTCATAGGGTTCTCCAGTTGACACTAGGTGACCTCATGATGAGATGACGATATCATACAAAAATCATACTCTTTATTTACTTGCTCCTAAAACGTGTACCTACTTGGCAAAGAGTCAAATGAAAAAATCAATAAGTAGTACGCTAGACTAGTATCTGAAAGAACCTAGAATGAGATCATTCTACCGTTTCGCCCAATTAAAAATAGATCGCGATTCTATGGGCTGAATTATTTTCATGTTCCGTTTTACGTTTTGTATGTTTAGTTAATAGATAGATAGATAGATAAATGGTTTATTTGCAAAACACATTGACACACAAGAAGCAAAACGTAAGATTAATAAACACAGGAGTAGCAGGAAAGATATAGTACATTACAAAGAGAAAGAAAGAAAATCCTGCGCGCTAAGGTATAAGTGTGCCGCAGCGATGCAAAAAAGCAGAGAGCTCAGTGTAGACACTGCTCTGAAATGAGCAGAACACTGATTTTCAGCTCTTGCTTGAAAAAAAAGAAGGAAAAGAAAGAAGGAAGACGCACGTGTATGGTAGAGAATAAGGTGGTGAAAATGTTGTAATATTGTAAACCTACATAAATATATAATACCAGCCATATTACATTATTACAAGTTTTTGATAGGGTCTAGTATTTGTCGCCTGTCAAATCCCTCAAAGTCGGTCTTTATAAGTTTCTTTATGCATCAGATATGACTCAATCAGAGCTTAGAGATAGAATTTCACGACATTTCATGGTACCGGTGGGAAAAGAAAAACACTATTGTTCTTCTTTTCTCTATAGACCTTTAGCCTAGGCGCAGACCATCGATTTTTCGTCGGCCGATAGTTTAGTCGGGCAGTTGATCAGTATGGGCATGTATGGAAGTGCGCACATTGCACTGATTTGATTTGGCCGATTCTTCATACAAATTAAAATCGGGCCCAACTATCTGCCAATTAAAAATCGGTGGTCTGCGCCTAGTCTTAGGAATAAATCTTCGATTCGAAGCACGATGAAGAATCATACAAGTTGAATTTGACCCATGGGTTTGACAAAGAACTTACCCGGAATTTATATTTGTTTCTTCTATTAGAATTAAGTTTGTGTACACATGTTCCATTAACCATCAGGTATTTCAACTTCGAACTTATATTTTAAGATAGGGAACCGGTTTCGGCCTACTTAGTTCCTAGTTTGATTTACATAAATAAATAGTTATCTGGCTTGCGCAACGATGTCAATGTCAACATCAATCTGGTCTGGTAGTTCATAAACCGAGCAACCCTACGGTTGCGGGTTTGATTCCCAGCTGGGACAAAATGTTAGTATGATGGTCTCGAGCATTTATACCCGGACGGAGCTGTGGTGGTAGATAACGAATTCATGAATATTTCAGCATATTCATCTCATCATCTGGTTCCCGTTGTCTTGTCTAGTTTTTTCTCTAGTTATCAGCATCTAAATTCTACTACTGAACCCCATTCAGTAGTAGAATTTAAATGCTGATAATGGAGTCAGAAAGTGGAAAATTAAATAGCTTGTTTCAAAAATATATTTAATTGGTGGAAAGAAATTGTTTATCATTTATCATTGTTGTGTGCAAATTGGCACGGCAATTAATGAATTATCGTTATCGTTAATTAATTCATCAAAGGCATTTCATCGCGAAATAATAACTTGATTACTAACGTTATTAATCTACATTATTATTTATGTCTCTATGTGTTGCGGAGCGTGCATGAAACAAAACTAGATACTGGTCTGGTCATTTCTGCGCCCTGTGCCTGGGCACCGCTGGCACCGCCCTAGTTACGGCACTGATGCCAGGATACCGAAAGAAACCTATAATAAACGGACTTGAGTGATTCCTCCACACGTTATCACTAGTAATGCCAATCGATCGATCGCGTTACAGATAAGCTAGGACTTTGACATGCAATTGATATGACAAATACGCCGCTTCCGTTGTCAAGTATGATGATTGAGCAGAAGTCTCAACGCACAAAATGATATTGGAACAGATTTTTCGTATTTGTGGAGCGGAGCCCTGTGTCTGATTTGAAAGAGGGGCCATAAAAGATCGCTTATTCAAAGTCAAAGTCAAAATTCGTCTAACATGCAACTCTTAAGGGATACAGTTTTGTTAACCATACCTATTTGTGATCTTGTTACTTACTTATGTGTTCTTACAGTAAGTTACAGTTGAAATAAAGATGTGACAATAGATGTGAGTCACATTCCACTTGGGGAATAAGGAAGTGGTTGAAACGGTAGCACTGTATTCCCATTGCACCATCTCTTGTGTTCTTATGAGTCAAATTAAATCATCCTTTTATTATTTAACCGGATAATTATTAGATATCAGGATAATAAAGCAGTTTTAAAACACAAAGAAGTAATTCGCAAAGGTAATTTAGCATGTCATTGATTCGCTTGCCAAGGCTACATACTCGTTCAGTAAGGCTGTATAAATAATTTCAGTCATGATAACTAACGTTCTGATTTCTCACTAATACTTAACTACGTTTTCTACAAAATATCCGCCCGAGAGTGTATCCAAGTCCTCCATTTGCCTCTGGTAAATTAGAGAAAGTCGTACTCCTGCAGTAGAGTCCAAATAATGACGTAGGTACTTACTGGTTCCACCTTGTGGAACCGACGACCTCATAAAGGTAGCAGGAAGGCGCTGGATGCAGGCCGCTACCAACCGGTCACTATGGAAATCATTGGGGGAGGCCTATGTTCAGCAGTGGACGTCCTATGGCTGAAATAATGATGACTTACTGATTTAAAATTAAAAGTCAAAAATGCATGCTGAAAGTGAGACCTCGTTATTTAACATTATGTGCGAATTTAATTCCTGGCATTGTCATGTGAAAGTTTATATTTTTACATTCTAATTTCCGTCTTCGTTTGTGTCTTTAAACAAACATACTACAAAGTACAAACGGCAGATCTAGCTAAACTTAAGACCTTATTTCGTTGTAAATAAGTGCGATTATACTGCAAAAATATACTGCTGTTTCGTACCTGCCACGAAATTGCTAACTGTTCTACCCCAATGGATTTTGAACTTTGTCCAAATAAGTATAAAGTTCAAAATAAATTACGGACGGAATCATCTCATGTCGCTGTTATTTAATTTGATGATGACAGTACGTAGACTACGGACAAAAGCCAATTAACATGTCGTGTTTGTATGAACAATGACGTTAACTTATTATCAACGCAATACCCTATTGTTTAGAATTTTAGGGACGCTATTATGAAAAATCACAAAAACTAACAAAACCTTTATTTATAAACAGAAGACGTTTAAGAAAAATAAAGGGAAATGTTGAATTGTCTTGTCTGCCTCATAATTATTCCTAGCGTTAAGACCGCCTAATTGTGTGTTTGGATTTGGTAAATAGTTGTATATTTTGTGTATCTATAATTTTTACTCAATATTGTACATTTTATCTTATAATTTATTTAACCCTGAACTATCTATTTAATTATGATATAATTTTTGACATTAACCAATATTTCAATACTTACTAATTAATAATAATTAGTATCCTTATTTTACAAAGATAATTAGTCGCATTAAGTATCACTTGATGCTATGACTAAAAGAACCAGCCAACACTTGCACAACCCACACAACTGTGTAAATACATAATAATATTGTGATTTGTACCGAAATCTGCCTATAGCCTGATATGACTATGACACTTACAACTCAGTGTCAGTGGTGCGGGTAAAACGTATGACTCACCATACATTTGGACCGCACTTCTGGTTGTTCATGTACTAATTAACTTTTTTTTTATCTTCTGAAATTCATTTTGAGGAATCCATAGGCACGCAGTTATGTATGTTAGTATTATGTATGTATTTTAAATGAATATTAGCAATTTTTACTATACAAAGTGCCAATAATCCCGTTAACCCCTCCAGCTAAGCTAAAGAGTCACATTTAGACTTAAGACCTTTTACCGTCAGTCAGGGTTGTCAAGTGTCAAAATGGCAGTTAAATCTTTCTGTACAGTCTGTTAATAAGTAAAATTGTGAATATTCTATGTGCACGATGTAAATGCCTTCACTATCGCCCCGACGCGATGTAATGTGCCAAACCTGTCACACCTGTCTGCTTGCATCCTCTAACTGTTAAATGTGATGTACTGAGGCTTTTTGACACTACTAACTGATTAAATATTAAAAATAACAAATTGTGTTTCAATACTGTTTGAAAATGTGTAAAATTGTTTTCATCGTTTCTAATTCTTTTTTTATTTATTACATGAAATTTTACGCACAAGTAATATGATTAAGGGTTAAGGCTCAATTGAAAAATTACCACTCTCATTTTTTTATAAAAAGATAATGCTTTATCGAGTTCAAAAGAAATGATAAGAAGATGAGATAAAAAGGAATATTTTTCTTAAAAAATCTATTTTTTCTTAACAAAAAAATCACATTGTTTTAAAATGTCAAGAGGCCTCACCGACTTCCAACTCACCAACATACTAATTGGCAATTAACGTTCACAGATCAAAATCAAGGCGGCTACCCTCAAGGTGGGTATCCCCCGCCCGGCGGTTATCCCGCTCAGGGCGGGTACCCGGCTCAAGGCGGGTACCCAGCTCAAGGCGGGTACCCGGCTCAAGGCGGGTACCCGGCACCAGGTGGATACCCGGCACCAGGCGGGTACGCTCCACCACCGCAGCCTGGGTTCCAACCGGCAGGGTATGGTGGCGCTGGATATGGCGAGGTGAGCATAATTAATATTATTGGTAACTTAATTTTTAAAACAGTAGCAATAAGGTTCTGGAATGGAGACCACGTACCGGCAATCGCAGAGTGGGTCGTCCACCTCGTCCAACAAGGTGGATAGTTTATAAAACACAGAGGAACGCGCTAGATACAGGCCGCTACCAACCGGCTAATCTGGATATCATTGGCCTATCCTTGGTCCAGCTGTAAAGTTAACGTCAAGTTAAGTGTACCCAACTCAAGGCGGATACCCGGCACCAGGCGGGTACGCTCCACCACCGCAGCCTGGGTTTCAACCGGCAGGGTATGGTGGCGCTGGATATGGCGAGGTGAGCATTTTGACTACGTTTAACTACGTATAGTTCTTGCAACTCACGAAGGCGAGTGAGCTTTACTTGTGTACGAGCGACCACACATGTAAAGCTACTCGCCTTTGTGAATTGCAACAACTATACTTTATAAAGTACGGCCAACGAGAAGCGATACCAAATGTAAACAAACCTAATGTCATGGTAATTACGAATAGCAGGGGTGCATAACTTTTTAATAGTTCGATTACATATTTTTGTAGATAATATAGTTTTAAAAAATATCTGGCAAATCATAAAAAAAGATGTTTTATTGAATTTTGTTTTTTTTTTATACCTAATTTGAATTATTGTATAATGTAGATTTAAATTAAATAACTAGAATCACAGAATAAGTAACTAGAATAATAATAACATTTCTGCCTCACAATGTGCCCGGCGTATGGCAACAGGCCTACCCCTTTTTCATAGAGACTTAAATATATCGGAATAATAAAATAAGAACCGACAAGTAACAGATTCGCCCTCGTGAATTGCAACAACTATGTATACTAAAATTTATGTCCGAATGTTGACGAACCCGTCTGACTTTGACATATTTTGGCGGGAGAACGAGACATTACGACAAATACACAAGATGGGAAGAGACAGAATAAATTGTCAACTCGACAGTCGTATCGACCTTTCGTATCGCTGCTAGTTGGCCGTACTTTACTTACTTAATTTTTAAAACGTAGCAACAAGGTTCTGGAATGGAGACCACATACCGGCACTCGCAGTGTGATTAGGATAGGAAACTATTTACTTTATCGAACAAGCAAGTTAACATATTTCATTGTTTTAATGTGGCCAAAATTAATATAATACTTTTAATAATACCATTGTCTGCTTGAGGGTTAAATGTTATTATTGGTACCTAGTTAAATACAAGGTGGAATTTTGTAATGCCACCTGGAGGGAAAGTACTCTTAATATCTTATTTTTAAGAAAAATTACCTTATTTTTGAAAAGAAAGAGAACTGCATTCATAGATTTTCGAAAATTCACTACCATACAATTTTCTGTACATAATTAAAATAATTTAAGATTTCATGGTTTTCCTTTCATTTGATTTATCAAGTTTGTTAGAGAGATTTCATCCTTATACTTAACCCTAAAGATCGATGTAATAAAAATACAGGTGTAATTTTTGACAGATTTTATTTGGTTCGATTCCCGGGGGTGCAAGCAAATTTTTGGAAATCTTTGAATGCAGTTCTATTTCTTTTCAAAAATAAAGGAATGTTTTCTTTGAGAAAAAAATTCTATCTACAATATCAACTTACAACAACAACAGTACTTTCCCTCTAGGTGGCATTACAAAATTCCACCCTGTATTTAGAAAAGATAAATAATTACTATGACGATATAAATCTAGCCGGCTACGATCCCGTTTGACATGATTTTGATGAAGGTATTTAAAATTGACTTGTTGACACCAACATAATTAATTTCACAATTTGCAATTTAACAAAATTTTACCGCGATATGAAAACCATCAAAATGTTATCCTGTGTCATTTGGAATTACAACACCAACCACAAAAAGCTATTTTAGTACGTATTTCCCAAATAAAGTTGTCATATTATAACATAATTATAATATTTAAAATACAAGTACATTCGTTTATAATTTTTTTTAGTATTAGTACAGCATTAAATGTGATAATTTTAGGCTAATATTGAAACATCTAAAACTAATAAAATGAATTTTTAGTACGGAAGTTCCTTAGTCATCTATCACGCCTATCCTTATCGCCACAACTCAAATTTTACAAAGAAAAAATTATTTATTTACTTGTGGCAGGCCTGGCTCACTCCGCGCGGTACATCCGATAATTACCTACAGCGAAGCGCCCCGCCGGCGGGTNGGCAGAGGGCGTCCACAACAGTCCTCCATCGCGTTCGGTCTTGAGCTATGTGTTTGATCTCGCTCCAAGTCTTGCCGATCTTCTTCGCCTCGTCTGCCACAGTGCGCCGCCAAGTTTGCTTGGGGCGACCACGTTTGCGTTTTCCTTGGGGGTTCCAATCCAGAGCCTGCTTGGGGATGTGATCGGGATCCCTTCGGAGAGTGTGGCCAATCCAGTTCCACTTGCGGCGCTTGATCTGCTGGTCGATCGGAATTTCGTGGCAGCGTTCCAATAGCTCGACGTTGGAGATTTTCTCAGGCCAGTATATGCCGAGAATTCGGCGAAGGCAGCGGTTGACGAAGACCTGCAGCAGATGACCTTGGTAACCTTCCACGTTTCACACCCATAGAGCAGCACGGATTTAACGTTGGACCCGAAAATTTTGATCTTGACCCTTCTGGTCAGTTTCCGTGACTGCCATACGGGGCGAAGTTGTGCAAAGGTGGCTCTAGCCTTGGCAATGGCCTTGGTGGATAAATGCGTTTATAATATAAGTCTTATTAGATCACCTAAATAAATATGGCGAGGATTGAAATCAACACCCTGTATATTATTTGTGATTGTTACTTGTTGTGTATCATCATCATCATCATCATTTCAGCCATAGGACGTCCATTGCTGAACATAGGCCTCCCCCAATGACTTCAACATAGCACGGTTGGTAGCGGCCTGCATCCAGCGCCTCCTTGCTACCTTTTGTGTATGCCTAATCTACTATAGGTACTTATAATAAATCTGTAGAGAGGTCAATTCTGTACATGAAATATATTTTCAAAATAACTATCAGGGGGTGATTAGTGATCGATACTGATGCCAAAAATGCAATCAGTAAAATTTTTGTCTGTCTGTCTGTCTGTCTGTCTGTCTGTATGTTCCTTATAGAAATAAAAACTACTCGACGGATTTTAACGAAACTTGGTACAATTATTCTTCATACTCCTGGGCAGGTTATAGTATACTTAGGAATTCCCACGGGAACGGGAATTAGCGGGAAAATCCTTTTGTATGTAAAATCTAAACCGCTTAAGTTAGACGCTTGAAAGGACAATGCCCATTACCTGTACCAAATTGCATCACAGGCTAATTATCATCAAAAATAATATTTTAATTATATGTGTACTTCATTAATTTTTAACCGTTTTTCTTATCCGGATTTAGAAAATTAGAATTAATTATACGAAACATGATTAACAATTACTTCCGTACAAAAAATCATTTCCGAAAACTTTTTTGTTCCGATTTCAGCTGTCACCTATTTTCGTGAGTAAGCAATAAGAATAAAAATCTTGTTTGCCAAGTAAGTTTTAGCAAGCAAACATGATTTTATTATCAATATTATTATTAATAATCATGATTTTCATAATAATGAAACTACCTACTTCAAACGATTTAAAAAAAATTTTTTTTCGCTTCCCAAAGATGCTGAAAGGTATGTTGGCCATGTAGGTAATCAATAATTCTTAGGATAGTAGTATAGGAACCTAACCTACCATGACTACTGCTCAGAATGCGTTCGTTCGTTACAGCCAAATGACGTCCACTGCTGGACAAAGGCCTCTCCCAAGGTTTTCCATAATGAATGCGTACTTACCTACATACGTACCTCATTACATATAAGTAGATTAATTAATTTTTCACTAGACAGCAACCCTAACAGCGTAAGAAGAGTTCAGAGGCACGCGATAGAAAGAGATAAAACTTGTAGGTGAATAAAATTGTAGGTACGTAGTGCTGTACGAGCTGAATTCCACTGTATCGCGTCGTAGCAAGACTCGCATTTATTTAAATCGTCTTGCGGAGTAATCCTTCTGTACCTGTACTATTACTTATTCTGTGCTTGTGGCCAGTTTTAATTCGAACCAGTAGAATGATATTTCAGCTGTCAGTTTTTTGGTTGTTTTATTGCTATTGTATAAAATTTAAGTATCGGTACAGTTTATACAGGGTGTTAGGTAAATGGGTATATGAGCCGACACTAGCCCATGTTTATAACATGGGCATATAAATGGTATGGTGAAGTCAGAATTTTGATATCATCACTTTATTTTTTTTTAATTTTCATACAATTTTTTTTTATAAAATACGATTTGTATGAAAATTAAAATAATTAAAATGAAGATATCAATTTTTTGACTTGACCATACCATTTATATGACCATGTTAACATGGGCTAGTGTCGGCTCATATACCCATTTACCTAACACCCTGTATATGAATCAAATGCCACTTTATCCCTCGTTTATGACCTGGGTTTCCCCAACAAGGGTGGCCATGTCTTAATTCAGATTCGGATTTTTCAGCTGGTTTATCCAAATATTTAGATAAGAATACAGGGATTCTAGGTTCTCAATGATCCTTTATTAATCTTCAGCTAACAAAAAGTCAATAATGTAGACAGTTTTATAAATAATGCGACATAGTCCAGCTATATTTCGAACGCATGGTCATCCCAGCGAACATATTTTACAATTATTATTATCTGTTATAGTACAGTCAGTGGGTCAGTCAGTTTTTATTATTTATTTACTTTATACATTGTGATCTGTTTTCAGTTGAGGATACTATGACAAGTATATTAATTACCTACATGTGTGCACTATGCACCCACCCACCCATACCTGCTTTGCGTAAGCTATGACCTTATCAATGACAAAGTGCTAATGAACTTAGCCTAGCACAGTAAATAGTATTTGTGCAGTGTCTGACAATAAGAGGAAATTCAGGCGGTTTTAAAACTAGTTTGATTTAGAAAACAATTTATAGATAACAAAAAATAGGCTATATTCGGCCATTATTATCCTTTAGTGGTGTATAAGTGAGACCGTCTATTTCTTTTTAATTCTAACTAATCGTTTTGTAAATATCCTGTTTGGAGCTCAG